GTGGTAGTGTGTGTGAATGATTCTGTTTAAGGTACGGCAGACAGAGGGGAAATGATGGAAGAGGTTGGGCCCAAGTCCTGCCTGATACGACACGCCCCCTGCTCCCTGAACATCGACTGAATGCTCTGGCTTGGGAAGAGTCAGAAGGATCAACCGAGGGCCAGAGAAAGGGACATATTAGTTTTAGGAGCACTTTTTGTTGAATATTCTGTATCTGATTGTAAAGATAATTAAATGCAGATGTTAAACGTGAAGATCTCTTGTCTCGCTCTTGCATCGATTTTGGATACGTCAGTCAAAGGGAATTATTGACATCAGAAGTCAAAACCACCACCCCTGACCAGTAAAGGGGTGCAATAAAGTCACAAAGGAAGATGCTATAAGACAGCACAAAACAAGATTCAAACTTAATTGAACATTGTGCAATAATAACACACTGATCTGAGTGAACAAAACATCTTTAATTGTAATAAAACAAATGTTTATACAACTGAAACATTTCCTATTTATTTAGTTACTATTCTAACTAATTTAAGGTTGGTAATTTAAAGCCCCTATATGTGCCACCTGCATCAGGATAAGTATCTCTTATTCGGACCAGAACACACGAGGGTAATGGCACCCTTTTCTTTTTCCCCAAAGTCCCATAGCACCACTGGACAAATCTCCGATATCCTGTGTACCTGAATTTCCTGAAATTGAAAATGAATCCTCTATTAGCCAAAAGTCATTTGTAGAAATGTTTGTAAAATCTAAATTGCTTCCTTACGCTTCATTTGACAGATCGGGTTCTATGTACCCATCAGCTTTCAGGTACGTATATGCCATCTCCAGTGACCACGGGTCTAAGCAAATGGACTTAAACCCCTCCATCCTTGTGTGGCGGGAGCCGTGGTAGAACAATGAAAATTCAGCAACGCCACCCAGGGTAATGGCCCTGGGACCGGACGGTTTTGATTTAATCTTTTTGCTTTCAGAAGGCCGCACTAGGTTAGGACAATAAAGGAGGTGAATTTTTATTACAAAGATAAGTTTTATTTAATAAATACAGAAGTTAAAATAGGCCTAATATTATTTTAAAATGGTAAACAACCGTCATACAGTGCACCTTTAACAATAAACAATGTACACAGTGCTACTTGAGTAGAGGGGGACAGCACCTTTAAATAAACATAAATCAAATAGCTTGTGAAAATAGGCAAACATCACAACAGAAGCAAAAATAAAATAAGACACAGCAAATCATGCACAATAAGGTAAATACACACAGAAAACAGGCAAAGGAAAATAACGTGCAAGCGACAAAAACAAACAAGCATGCAGGAGCAGACATGCGGACAACTCCCCGATTCCTTGTAGTCTTTGCCTACAAAAAAAACAATGTTAAATTGTTCGGTGCGAGTCCACCCCCACCTATGCACGCACTAAGCACGCGCTGAAGCAGCCCAGGGGTGCGGAATGGGACTGGAGCGCTTTTACGCACGAGAGAATGTGGACAACACAGAGGGACAAACAACGGCCTCTTTTAACAGGAGGTGGCGGCTCCAACGTGGGCCACGCACGCTGTGCGCCTCGTGCCTGCCGGTGACAGTGCGCGCACCCGCAGGCAGCAGGAGGAGGGGGAGAGACGTGGGGGAATCACGGCAAAGTCCCACAACAGCCCCAGACCCAGAGAAGGGCCTGGAGCGCACGACGCGTGCACCACGCACGCACTCCCAAGGAGAAGGAGGAAGACCACGCGCGCCAGGCCAGACCGTAGTCCTGGACCTGGATGATAATGCGTAGAAGCGCAGGGCTCGGAAAGTTAAGGCCCGAACCAGGTGTTGCGGGAGGCCACAGCACGCCGCCACCACAATACCCACTCAAACTGGTGTGTGTAAGAGCGCGCGCCGTGCGCGTAACCGGCTTTCAACGCTACGTCGGTGCCACCCACCGTCCATCTTAAAAGGCAGCCTACACCAACCTGCCACATTCTACCCCCCCTTTCTTTGTCGGCGTCCCGACGACATAATACAGTAGAATGGACCTACGCAGACCCAGAAGAAGACCCATCAAGGGGGCGGGGAAGTTGATGCACATTGCGAGGCGCTTGCAAATTTGCAATCGGAACAACAGTGTAGACCGACCCTTCCCCCACCGGGGCCTTCACTACTTGGAACAGGTCAGGGCGCCAAATGTCTTGAATTTTGTGGCGCCCCCTAAAGCGATGGTCTCGCAGGTAGACCAACTGGCCTACCCGCAAGGGGGCTTCCCTGACCCGGAGATCGTGCCTTTCCTTCCTCCGGACAGCATTTGCCGACAGTCGTTCCCGAGCACTAGCGAAGGCCACCTTGAGCTTCGAGCAATGCTCCGACACCCAATTCTGCACCGTCCCAGGAAGGGGATCCGGTACTTGACCAAGAGCAAAATCAACCGGAAGGTTGGGCTCACGCCCAAACATCAAGAAGAATGGTGATTCCCCAGTGCTCTGATGCGGCGTGGTGTTATACGAAAAGAGCACCTGGGGAAGGCAAGAAGCCCAGTCATGTTTACGAGGAAGTGGGAGGGTCCTAAGAAGATTGTGTAGGGTACGGTTGAACCGCTCACATTGACCGTTCCCGGCAGGGTGGTATGCGGTGGTTCGAGATTTGGTTACACCGTACAGATGACAAAGCTGCTGAAGGATGGCACCCTCAAAACATCTTCCCTGATCCGAATGTATTCGGCTTGGAACACCGAACCTGTAAAACCACTCCTGGGTGGAGGCTTTCCTCTCCCCCGTCAGGCCGTAGAAGCCTACGGTACAACACGCCTTCTCTCTCCACGAAGCGATCCCACTGCTTGAGGAGGGTCAAGGTTGGCCTGGAAAGGCCACGGCGTTCCATTGGAGAGGGCCGCGCCCGCCTTTGCCAAAAGACCAGGACTTCCCTCAAGCAAGGGTCGTTCGTCTGTAAAGCGCGGATCTCGGGCAGGGAGCGCCCCGGGATGGCACAGATTAGAGACTGACCTGCAACCAGTGGACCTGCTTCTTGTTGGAGGGCCACCGGGACAGAGCTGCCTGGCAGTACACCAGCAGCCAGCTCGGAGGATGTTAAGTACTGCCTGGACAGGGCATCCGCATTACCATTGCTGCGCCCAGATCTATACTTTATTTCAAAATCAAATGCAGCAAGTTGGGCGGCCCACCGATGCTCCAGGGCTCCGAGCTTGGCAGACTGAAGGTAGCTCAACGGATTGTTATCTGTAAACACCAGACACCTATGCCCTAGCAAATACTCCCGGAATTTCTCGGTCATGGCCCACTTGAGCGCGAGCAGCTCCAATTTCATGGAGCTGTAATTTGTCATATTGCGCTCAGTGGGCCGAAGACCCCGACTTGCATAGGCAACAGGTCTGACGCCACCCTCAGTCTCCTGTGACAGCACTGCCCCAAGGCTGCTATAACTCGCATCCGTCTCCAGGATGAATGGCTTGGAGAAGTCTGCATATGCGAGCACGGGAGCGGCGACAAGCTTGGCCTTTAACGCTTCAAAGCTGTCCTCGCACTGAGAGGTCCAAGCCTCACCCAGAGGCTTCCCTGAGCCCCTCTTGTGCTTTGTCCCAGCAACCGCAGCCACCAACTTATGAAGAGGGGCGGCCAGTGGGGCAAAACCCTCAACAAACCGCCGGTAGTAACTGGCGAAACCTAAAAAGGAACGCAGTTCAGTGACGTGTTGAGGGCGCTTCCACCCAGCCACCGCCTCAATCTTAGAAGGGTCTGTGGAGACACCCTCTTGGGAAATCACATGTCCCAAATACTTCACCTTGAGCTGGAAGAAGAAGCATTTCTCCAGCTTGGCCTTCAAACCCTCTTGCTGAAGACGTCCCAGCACCAGCTCCAACCTGTCCAGGTGCTGTGAGACGGAGGAGGAGTACACAACAATGTCGTCGAGATATAACAACAATGACTGACATTGTTGGTCTCCAAACAGCCTCTGCATCAAGCGCTGGAACGTGCTCGGAGCGTTACACAAGCCGAATGGCATTCGATTAAATTCGAACAGGCCGAATGGTGTACAAAAGGCCGTCTTCGGCTTGTCTGGCTCTTCCACTGGGACCTGATTGTACCCGCTGGCCAAGTCGAGTGTTGAGAACCAACGGGCGCCCGACAGCGCATCCAGACTTTCCTCGATGCGCGGTAAGGGAAAGGCGTCCTTCCTGGTCTTGCCGTTTAGAAGGCGGTAGTCAACGCAAAGGCGAAGACCACCGTCCTTCTTCCGGACCAGGACGATGGGAGAGGCGTATGGGCTGCTGCTTTCCCGTATTACCTGCGCATCGAGGAGTTGGTTAATATGGGCCTTCACAGCCTCATATTCCGACGGTGGAATGCGGCGGTAGCGCTGCCGAACCGGCACGTCATCCAGCAGAGGGATCTCATGCATTATCAGGTTGGTACACCCAAGGTCACCGTCATGAGCGGCGAACACTGTGCGGTACTTCTGTAACAAAGACCTGACTGCTACCCGTTCCTCAGGCTCAAGCACAGACAGGTCCACCGCACCAACCTTGTCCTCTGGCTCAGTCGCCACCTGAGAGGAGACTGTGGCTGTGGCTGTGTTGACTTCCGTAACCCCCACTGGTAAACTCACTACTTCTGCCTTACTCAGGGTCCCGAGACTGGTCCGAGGGTGTAGAAAGGCATCAACTATCCCCACATTAACCACCGGGAGGTAAACGGTGCCCTTCTCAACACGCACTAAGCAAGGGGAAGCCAGTAATCCAGCCGGTAGGCCAGTTTCAGTTTCACGCGAAGCCCTCGCGAGAGTTCAGTGAGTGAACGCTGGCGCGCTTTGGCAGCCGCTGCTCACAGAACAAACACGGACTAAAACATTGTTTACGCAATATTGGATGTCGTGGTTACGTTGTGTTTTAAGGATTGTTTACCTGCTTTCGATATCAACCACAGTTTGCTGTTGTCATAAGCATTTTGGACATATTCATACCTGGGACCCCTGGCTGTCGTATTCCCCTCCTGGGAAACGATGTGTGTCTGCCATATAACGCGCTGGCTTGTTGTCATCTGGCTCATCGTGTCCCTGGTCCATCTGCAGGCCAATGCTCTCCTCCAGTACTCCGCTGCTGAACTTTTAAAACTTCGGCACCACGTCCCCGCTCCTCTTCAGCCACCGGAGCGCGGACATGACATCCCCCCGGGCATCGCCTTCCAGCCCCGGCGGCGGTACGTTCACCGTGGATCACGCCGTAAGCTCCAATACAAGGACTCCCATTCAATAAAGTCCCTCTGGTCCACCACTCGCCGCTGCTCCCGCACCGCTGGTCGGGACGCTGACAGTGTCCTGGTCAGCGTGGCCCGATCGGCTCAGCCCGCGGCAGCCAAGAACAGCTCCACCACCGTCAGCTTCGGTCTCCTCAACGTGCGCTCCCTCAACACCAAGGGCCATCTGGTCCGGGATGTCCTCGTCGACCGTAAGCTGGACTTCTTGTGTTTGACCGAAACCTGGCAGCAGCCAAATGACTTTGCCGCGTTGAACGACTCCACTCCACCGGGGTTTGTTTACATCTGCCAGCCCCGCAGCTGTGGCCGCCGGGGCGGAGGTCTCGCGATGCTTCACCGCGAGACTTGGAAAGTCACACCTGTGCCTGCTGCCCCTGTCTTCTCCTCCTTCGAGTACTCTGCCTCACTGCTGCCTGGACCTTCTCCTACTGTTGTTGCCACCATCTACCGCCCGCCAAAACTTAATAAGGACTTTTTAAATGACTTTTCTCACCTTCTAACACACTTCTCATCTATCTCTCATAACGCAGTCATACTTGGGGACTTCAACATTCACATGGACAATAATAGCAACCCTCTCACCAAAGACTTCTCCTCCTGTTTAGATAGTTTTGGTTTACAACAACACATTCATTTCCCCACCCACACTAAAGGTCACATTTTGGATTTAATCTGCTGCTCTGGTCTCACTCCCACTGACTGTAAACCTCACACACTCCCATACACAGACCATAAGCTCATCACCTTCAATATCAACCTCACCCTCTCCAAGACCATCCTTCCCCGAACCATTTCTTTCCGTAAAATTCAGGACATAAACACTGCCACCTTCGCCTCAGATATCAATAACCTCCCCACTACTGATCCCAATGACTCCCCCGATGACCTGGTCTCCCACTACAACACTTCTCTCCATAACCTCCTGAACAATCATGCTCCTCTCAAAACCCGACCCGTCTCTTTCACGCTCTCAGCACCCTGGTTCACCCCTGCCCTCCGTCAGCTCAAATCCCAAGGACGTCAACTTGAACGGCTCTTCAATAAAACTGGACTCACCATTCACAAACAAATGTACAATAACCACATCATGCTATACAAGGACCATCTCTCTGCTGCCAAATCCACCTACTACTCCGGTTTAATCCACTCCAATCATCAAAACTCCAAAACTCTCTTCTCACCAATATAACCAAACCCCCTGACTCCCTCCCTCACCATATGCAATCCACTGACTTCTGTAACTCACTCATGTCCTTCTTTACCTCCAAGATCTCTGACATTCACCAACACCTGACCCCGCATGGAGCTGCAGTCTCTGGAGTGGACCCCCCAGCCCCCTACTCATCCCTCATAGCCACATTCTCCAGCTTCATCTTGCCCTCCGTCCAAGCCATCTCCGACTTTATCATTAAATCCAAACCTTCTACCTCTCAGCTCGACCCTCTCCCTACCGTTCTGGTCAAATCCTGCCTCCCCTCAGCTGCCCCCCTCATCACTAATATCATTCATTCATCTCTCACTTCTGGTACTGTCCCTCTCTCATTCAAAACCGCCTCAGTCTCACCCATTCTCAAAAAACCTGGCCTGGATCCAACCAACTTCAACAACCTCCGTCCCATCTCAAACCTTCCCTTCATCTCCAAAATACTTGAAAAATCTGTCGCTGCTCAACTCCACAACCACCTCACCACCAACAACATCTACGAACAATTTCAGTCTGGTTTCCGTCCCCTCCACAGCACCGAAACAGCTCTTCTAAAAATCACTAACGATCTCCTCATAGCCTCTGACTCCGGTTTACTCTCCATCCTCATCCTTCTGGACCTCACTGCAGCTTTTGACACCATTTCTCACTCCACCCTCCTGAACAGACTCTCCTCCATCGGCATCACCCACACCCCCCTCGCCTGGTTCACCTCCTATCTTTCTGGTCGCTCACAGCTCATTCATCTCAAATCCCACAAATCCCGCACTTTTCCTGTCTCTGCTGGTGTGCCCCAGGGCTCTGTCCTGGGGCCCCTCCTCTTCATCATCTATATTCTCCCACTCGGTCACATCCTCCGCCGTCACAACATTCACTTCCACTGCTACGCGGATGACACCCAGCTCTACCTCTCCACTAAACCATCTTCCTCTCTCCCTCCATCCTCCCTCACCCTCTGTCTACAAGAAATTCATTCCTGGTTCTCTTCCAACTTTCTCAAACTCAATAGCTCAAAAACTGAAGTCCTTCTCATAGGCACCCCCTCCACTCTCTCCAAATCTACCAGCTTCTCAATCTCCATCCATAACACATCTGTCCTCCCCTCCCCTCAAGTCAAGAGCCTGGGTGTCATCCTCGACAGTTCACTCTCCTTCCAATCCCACATCAATAACATCACTCGGTCTGCCTACTTCCACCTGCGCAATATCTCTCGTCTCCGCCCCTCTCTCACCCCCCACACCACCGCCATCCTCGTCCACAGCCTCGTCACCTCAAGGATTGACTACTGCAACTCACTTCTCTTCGGCCTCCCCAACAAATCCCTCCAGAAACTGCAGCTCCTCCAAAACTCTGCAGCTCGTATCATCACCCGAACCCCCACAGCTCACCACATCACCCCCGTACTACAACAACTCCACTGGCTTCCTGTCAAACAGCGCATCAATTTCAAAATACTCCTCACCACCTTCAAAGCACTTCACAACCTGGCCCCTCCGTACTTATCTGACCTCCTCCACCCTCACATTCCTGCCCGCACACTCCGCTCCTCCTCCACCCTCACACTCTCCGTCCCCCCAGCCAGACTCATCACTGTGGGACACAGAGCCTTCAGCCACTCTGCCCCCCAGCTCTGGAACTCTCTCCCCCCTGACCTCCGTACTATTGACTCTCTTCCACTCTTCAAATCCCGACTCAAAACCCATCTGTTCAGACTGTCCTACCCCACCTAACACACACGCGCGCACACACACACACACACACACCTAACACATACGCACACACACACCCTCCTAACTCACACACACACCATCCCATATTGCACCTGACTACTGTTTTATTCTGTTTATCCTGTTTTTAAATGTTTTTATTATGCCTGTACAGTGTCCTTGGGTGTTTTGAAAGGCGCTTTTAAATAAAATTTATTATTATTATTATTATTATTTCTGGCGGTTCAAAAAGAGCAGCCTTACCGGCAAGCTGTTGGGGGCAGGTGCTTGCGACCAGCTTCATCGTGCCCCCAGGCACTCGCACCGCTCGTGGACCCCGGACCTTAACAACTCCAACCATAGTTATTGGCTCGCGAGCAGCTGCTTTATGGCATTTCTGCAAGGCCTCAATGACTGGGCCTGGGGCCTGTGCAACTACAGGAAGCTCAAAAAGAGAGGAGCCGTAGGCACCAAACAACTCCCGGTAGCAGCGACGAATTACATTCATTCCGAGAATACCTGGAGTGGAGGGGCTTGTGTCAGGGGGATCCTTTACAACTAATATACCACACTGAGGTATCACTTTGTCACAGAGGGCTACATCCAGCTCCAAATACCCAATGTATGGTATTTCAAGCCCATTGGCTGCCCGCAGCTGCAACCAGTGGCAGGACTGAAGGCGGTCAGCATCCCAAGGTTCAAAGTGTTCCCTAAAAAAACTTTCTGTGACTGTGGATACCATGGATCCAGTATCCAACAAGCAGGGAACGGTTGCCCCACCCATGTTTACCTCAACTGTTGGGCAAGATGCCATCAAGCCAGAGAGTTCGCCTATACGTGAGCCTATGGACACCCCCCCTGAACTTTGGCTCCCCAGTTCAGCGGGCGCTAGTTTCCCTGCGATGCGGGGGGGTGGGAAGGTGCAGAGGCAGAGCTAGCTCTGCCACGGAAAGGAACACGCTCTCCATCACACTCACTGGCATAATGGCCAGGCCGATCGCACCTCCGGCATATAACGCTACTGCGAGTTGGCCTACCAGTTTGCCGTGGGGCCTGAAGGGAAGCTACTGTCTGGGTCAGTTGATTAAGTTGTTCCTGCTGATGCTTTAATAAATCCATTACTTCACCCAAGCCAGGTGCCGAAGGTGGTGTTGGCACCGAAGGGGAGCGAGCACTACCTCTAACCTCAAACTGAAGGCCATGGATGGACGGAAGAGAAAAACTACGTTCCCGATGAGAGGTGGGCAACCCCTCTCTCTCCCATCTAAAGGCCTCGGCACGCACCTGCAGTAAGGTGGCAGTTGGGGTATCACGAGCAAACTTCTTTAACTCCCTACGTAGCCCACTGTCAATTACTTGCTCGATAAACTGGTCACGTAAAAGGACTGCTGCATTCGGTACGCCTCCTGGTGCACGCTGTTTAACCCGTTCCATAAGTGACATAAGCGCAAGGGAAAACTCCTGTAAGGTTTCCCCTTCTTGTTGTTGTCTTGAAAAAAAGGCTTGCTGTAAAGTCACATATGGCCGGGCACAGCCATACAATTCCTGAAGAATATCCAGAACCCGTGCTGGGTCCTCTCGTTCCACCATCGGACGGAACTTTATCTCACTCTTAGCCTCCCCTTCCAAATGATCGAAAATGAAAAAAGCTCTATCCCTAGTAGAAAGATGGCGGGCACGCATACAAGCTTCAATATCTTCTGTCCATTCATCCAGGGAGATACCCGTCCTCCCATTGAACAAGGGACACTTGCGGTCACGAGGCATCACAAACACGCGCTCCATGGAAACAGTTGAAGTCCCTGAGGGAACACTACCGGTGGGAGTGCCTGGAGTCTGATTAACTCCACTAGCTCCGGCCTGGGGTGAGGCCCTATCCCGGAGAAGTCGTTCATTGTCTGCCTTAAGCTGAGACAACTGCTCTCTGAGCTGCTGAAGCTCCTCCTCCATACTGTCTAGGGGTACACACACCACAACCTTTAGGCAAGGGATAGAACTTGAGTGTGACTAACCTCGAGTTTTGAGTCCTGAAAAGAATAGCCGTTGCCCTGTCCACTGAAATTGTCCACAACAAAATAAACAGTACGATATCCAAGGTGCAAGGAACATAGACAAAAGCAATTTATATAAACAAAAATAATCACACCTCTACTTTATGTCCTGTCCTGCCAGCGTACGCCAAATGTGGCGGGAGCCGTGGTAGAACAATGAAAATTCAGCAACGCCACCCAGGGTAATGGCCCTGGGACCGGACGGTTTTGATTTAATCTTTTTGCTTTCAGAAGGCCGCACTAGGTTAGGACAATAAAGGAGGTGAATTTTTATTACAAAGATAAGTTTTATTTAATAAATACAGAAGTTAAAATAGGCCTAATATTATTTTAAAATGGTAAACAACCGTCATACAGTGCACCTTTAACAATAAACAATGTACACAGTGCTACTTGAGTAGAGGGGGACAGCACCTTTAAATAAACATAAATCAAATAGCTTGTGAAAATAGGCAAACATCACAACAGAAGCAAAAATAAAATAAGACACAGCAAATCATGCACAATAAGGTAAATACACACAGAAAACATGCAAAGGAAAATAACGTGCAAGCGACAAAAACAAACAAGCATGCAGGAGCAGACATGCGGACAACTCCCTGATTCCTTGTAGTCTTTGCCTACAAAAAAACAATGTTAAATTGTTCGGTGCGAGTCCACCCCCACCTATGCACGCACTAGGCACGCGCTGAAGCAGCCCAGGGGTGCGGAATGGGACTGGAGCGCTTTTACGCACGAGAGAATGTGGACAACACAGAGGGACAAACAACGGCCTCTTTTAACAGGAGGTGGCGGCTCCAACGTGGGCCACGCACGCTGTGCGCCTCGTGCCTGCCGGTGACAGTGCGCGCACCCGCAGGCAGCAGGAGGATGGGGAGAGACGTGGGGGAATCACGGCAAAGTCCCACAACAGCCCCAGACCCAGAGAAGGGCCTGGAGCGCACGACGCGTGCACCACGCACGCACTCCCAAGGAGAAGGAGGAAGACCACGCGCGCCAGGCCAGACCGTAGTCCTGGACCTGGATGATAATGCGTAGAAGCGCAGGGCTCGGAAAGTTAAGGCCCGAACCAGGTGTTGCGGGAGGCCACAGCACGCCGCCACCACAATGCCCACTCAAACTGGTGTGTGTAAGAGCGCGCGCCGTGCGCGTAACCGGCTTTCAACGCTACGTCGGTGCCACCCACAATCCATCTTAAAAGGCAGCCTACACCAACCTGCCACACTTGCAAAAACTGCGTTTTTCTCCTGACAGCAATAACACTCTTCAACCTGAGACATGATTGCACATTTTTCGCACTGACACCTGTAAATTAAATCAATAGATAGATGGGAATTTCCTCATTTTCTGAATCTGTCTCTCCCATCAAGGGGCACCGCTGCAGGTCAAGCCAGCCTCATTTGGCAGCTTCCGGTGTGCTTGTTTTGATCACGTCTACAGCCTCATCGGGATCAGGCTGGTGTATGTACTGCAATGACAACTTCACTCCAATAGATGGCGGTGTTAGCCTACTTTTTAGGATCATTACACAACTGCTGGTGATGTGCATGGAAATAACTTTCGTAACACAAAAAAAGATGTGAGAACCAACATACGCGAACAGTTTTCCAGGCGAATCATAAATAAAGCCAATTTAATTTGAATATTATTACTGCACCAGACCTTATTGTTACTGAACAACTCAAGTAATTGAAGTAGAAGTTTGTTCTTTATTATTATTAAAATCATTTCTGTAGAAATGTCACTAAAGGGACTGCAATGCACATCTTAGAAAATAAATAAACAAATAAAAACAACAGAAGAACATCAGGCATGTCATAAATGGTATAAATGACATTGAAATATAATATAATAAGAAAATGAATTATAAGGGCAATCATTCTATAAGATTGTATATAAAAGAAGCTAGTTTCACTGTATTTTGGGTGTTAATCAATAATAAACATTTAGAAAATAGTTTCAGCTCATTCATCCAATGAAAAATGTGAAGTTTTGTTTTAAAAAAAACATTAATGTATGTAATGTTTGCTTGACAAAATTACATTGTCAATGCCAATTCTTGTTAATGCCAATTCTACTCAAGTAGAAGTATACTGCACCATAGTGATGGCAATATGAAGCCCCATGAAGCCTTGAGGGATAGCAGCCTATTACTCGGCCCATGAGTCGAAGGCTCAAGGTGAATCATGCTCCACTACGCCATCATGTGGACAAAGAAATACATAACACTCTTAAGTGCTTACAATGAATGGTGAGATCTAATGTTAAAATGTATATTTACAATCTATGGTCTAACGCAGTGTCTCCCAAAGTGGGGTCCGCGGCCCCCTGGTGGGCCGCGAGGGTACTGCAGGGGGGCCGCGGGAGGTCATTAAAAAAAAAATAATGTTACATTTATAACGTTTTGTTTGTAATATTAAAATATGTGTTCATTATTTGACTTGAATAATCCACTGTAATCATTTTTGTATTACAATGTTTGTAGCAGAGGCTATTTCCCCAAAATAAAATGACCAGAAGAGCCTATTCTTAATGTTGTCTTCTTGGTTATTATTTTGGGGGGCCACGCAGACCCGTCAGATTTTTAAGGTGGCCTCGGTGTTACTGAGTTTGGGAATGGCTGGTCTAACGTGTTGTGTTTGAAATGATGCTTCATGAACTATGAACTATTTGAATCTTTCAGTCAATTGTGTTGATACAACAAACACATCCAAAGTAATACAGTTCTACAGAAAGTGATTAATGGAGGAAAAACTACCAAGAGGTGGATTAATTAAACACAACAAACCATTTATTCCCAATAAATAAATACATTTACTTTGCAACACAAAATTTATTATGGGTAGACCGGGATTCGAACGCTATATCTTCTGCTTCGGAGTCCGTCATATACCGACTGCGCCACACAGCTGTTGTGAAATGTATTATCCAGCGTATTATTACTAATAACTTGAAGCCTTGATATATGAGGTTTTACTAAAGTGAAACGTTTTTAATTGTATTTCATATGAAGTAGTTTCTCTATACTTAGTACAGGACTGCTCCACATCACGCACACACACGTACGCACACACACGTACGCACACAGAGGCAGACGGGGACAGCCATACATCTCCGAACTATATGAAGCACTATATGAACCGTCACGTGGTGCGGCCGCTACGCGAGGCTTCGAACGTCACCACACACGTGACCAATACACGCCTCGACCCACACTTCACAAGAAACGCCCCCAGATTACTCGGTCCACGCTTCGAAGACTCGGTCCGCTCAGCACATCACTACTGCACCATATGAGAAAGCTGCAAGAAGTAGTTAAAAAGTCCATTACTTTTTACTGCACTGGAGTATATCTGTGGCCATACCGCCTTTGCTCTGCCCAATCCCGTCAGATCTTGAAAGCTAAGCAGGGAAGGGCCTGGTTAGTACTTGGATGGGAGACCGTTTGGTAGCACTAGAAAGCCTAGCGAATGTAGTGAGTGAGTGAGTGGTTGGTGGTGGTCGGAGGGGCCCATGGCGCAAACTGGTAGCCTCGCTTCTGTCAGTCTACCCCAGGGCAGCTGTGGCTACAATAGTAGCTTACCACCATTAAGTATGGAGTGAATGAATAGTGCAATGTAAAGTGTCTTTGAGTGTTCAGAAAAGCGCTATATAAAACCGATGCATTATTATGTTTTTATTAAGGCTGAAAAATGGTTCAGCAAACTGTGCATGTGACAACTTGTGTTGAATTAACACTCTTCACTATTAATGTATGGAAATAATAGTTTGATGTTGTATTATGGATTTTGTTAGACTTGTTAATTAAAGTAACTATGCATCGAATGAATAGCTGTTGTTTATCAACTTTGCACTTTCAGGAAATACATGACATAAAGACAATTTGGTCCACCAGGTTTATGTGATGGAACTGTTGGTCAGGAATTAGGAGGCTGCTTCTTTCTTGCAACTTCCTACTGGTGATATCCGTCATTAAATGTCTGTCACACAAAATAAAGTTACATACAATATTGGGAAAATATGTAATGTGTACACATAATAACAGTCATTCATTTCAGATTATAACATTTCATACAGCGGGCCATTTGAAGTATATATGAAGTATCCTACTCTCATCTCTTAGGCTGAGTTTACACGGAGACAATGTGGCAGTAAAACGGTATAGTTGGATGTCGGTTTCTACCAACCGTTCATACGAAGACTGTGTTCCAGGGGGGTCAAAACGTAAGTGTTCAGATCCAGCCCGCAGAGTGGGACAACTCAGAAACGCTGCACAGCGGGGGAGCTCTTTCACACCCGCGAGAGGGAAAAGGTGTGAAATCCCCCTCTGCTCTGACCCCCACCTCCGCGCTGCTCCCCGCACGTAAATTTGGAAATGCGCAGTAGCGGAGAACAAACATCAACAACAATGGCGCCGCGCGCACTAACTAGCTTCGTGGGCTTCCAGCGCGGCACAGAAGATAATTCTACACCTTCGTTCATCCAAACGAGACCACGCGAAGCTCTAGGTTCAGTTTCCATTTTCACAGCTGCTGTTAAAATGCAGAATGATGTTGGTGCGTTCTGAGGGTCTGGTACAGGAAGTAAGTACACTGCCGAGAGGGGGGCTGGGTACGGGGCTGGGGGTCGTGTGAGTGTTGTAAAGTTTCTCTGCCCACTACTGGCCGGGCGCTAGAACTACATCGTTTTTCAACCTCATGTGAACGCTGAGAAATTTGCATTAGGAGCCTGGTCGTTTCTGTTAATAGACTGGAAACGTCTGCGCAGCGTCTCAGTATAAACAGGGCCTTACTCTCACCACTGAAATGGTGGGATAAGATTTAATCTTTCTTCACTTTACTCCTTCAGGGACAGCCGACAGGGCACGGCCAGTCCAAGGAGACGGCACTTCAGTCACAATAGGCAGGTAATTAGCAGTGATCAGCCATGAATAGGACAGGACTGACCGATACTGGGGTGAGCAGGCCGTTACAGATGCTCTACTCAAAGGTGTTTACCCACAGGTGAGAGTAGCTGGGATTAGAGGGGAGGAGCCGGGCCTATCCCAACTCCTCCTGGTGGTTTTTATCTAAGCTGCGGGCTGAGCGGGACTTTAGTCCGCTGACAAAGCCTTTTGGATGAAAGGTGAAACGTTCGAGACTTCAACTACTGAGTACAGAAGATGACTCAAGCACCTTCATTGAAGATCAACAATTCCTGTACGACTGAGAGCTTACACAGACATAAAATAAAGAAATAGTAATCTTCACAATAACATTTAGAATTATTCCAGTTGTCAAATGTTTCTCCATAGAACTATTTGGGAAATTGTCATTTCAAGGACCATTTTCTCAAACAAAAAAGAAAAACAAAAAGCACACAAAAATGTTTGACATTGGTGTAACAAATTCCCTGCTTATCCCACAGACCTACAATTTTCCAGGCTTGGACTACAATTTGAATTTACAGAGATATTTCAATATATGATTATTCGTCTTGAATTTTTTTGAATTTTGAACACTGGGATATTGAAATTGGCAAGGCAAGTTGATTTGTATGGCACATTTCATGTACATGACAACTCAATGTGCCTCACAGCAGCACCTAACAGATTTCCCACTAAAAACATTTTTGTAGCTAACATGTCACAGAATAAACCATACATTTTAATATGGCTAGATCTGTTATTCAGATTTCATTGCAGAAAATAGCATTGTGAAATGTACACTCACCTAAAGGATTATTAGGAACACCATACTAATACTGTGTTTGACCCCCTTTCGCCTTCAGAACTGCCTTAATTCTACGTGGCATTGATTCAACAAGGTGCTGAAAGCATTCTTTAGAAATGTTGGCATCTTGCAGTTGATGGAGATTTGTGGGATGCACATCCAGGGCACGAAGTTCCCGTTCCACCACATCCCAAAGATGCTCTATTGGGTAGAGATCTGGTGACTGTGGGGGCCATTGTAGTACAGTGAACTCATTGTCATGTTCAAGAAACCAATTTGAAATGATTGGAGCTTTGTGACATGGTGCATTATCCTGCTGGAAGTAGCCATCAGAGGATGGGCACATGGTGGTCATAAAGGGATGGACATGGTCAGAAACAATGCTCAGGTAGTCCGTGGCATTTAAGCGATACCCAATTGGCACTAAAGGGCCTAAAGTGTGCCAAGAAAACATCCCCCACACCATTACACCACCACCACCAGCCTGCACAGTGGTAACAAGGCATGATGGATCCATGTTCTCATTCTGTTTACGCCAAATTCTGACTCCACCATCTGAATGTCTCAACAGAAATCGAGATTCATAAGACTAGGCAACATTTTTCCAGTCTTCAACTGTCCAATTTTGGTGAGCTTGTGCAAATTGTAGCCTCTTTTTCCTATTTGTAGTGGAGATGAGTGGTACCCGGTGGGGTCTTCTGCTGTTGTAGCCCATCCGCCTCAAGGTTGTGCGTGTTGTGGCTTCACAAATGCTTTGCTCCATACC